TGTTCGACAAAGGGGCTAATCCTGTCACTATGATCACCCACTCAGATGAATTCTCGGACTGTCCCAACATACCCAGGTTTTGACCCCCTCTAAGGATCTCACTGATTGGCATATCAAAGACCGCCCAATCCGACACCTAGAGCAATATCATAATCGAGTCTAGGGGTCAGGTGTAACATTCCAGTTTTGCCCATCTATCTCCAAGGTCCAGGGTAATACTGGAATTCTGGTCCGGTTCAGAGTTTCAAGAAAACCCACACTGCATGTACCTCAGGTCTCACCCTGATGGCTGAGACAGGCCACCCCAACCAACTTGGCGGCACATCAGTGTCAACCTTGACAGGATAAATCTCCCTAGATCTATCCAACGGTTGTGAAGATTCTAAACTAACACGAGTCTCATATGTGTCCAGTTTAAAGATATTACACAGAAACGCACCATAATAACATGAATCAAATATGTACTTTATTCATTTACATTAAATGTCATAATGTACATCATTCTGATTGAAACTAAGGGCATACACTATCTAACAGTTGCCAACACATTCTGGATAGTCCTTTCATTGCAAATGAGTGCATTGACTCAAGGTTAAGGCAAGACATTGCGGGAGTGATTTGTGAGATTGATTTTTGACAAAGCTTATGACCATGTTATTCGGGACTTTGTAGACTACATTTTATGGCACATGGGGTTTGGAGTTGCTTGGAGGAAGTGGGTAGCAGAATGCGTTACTTATCCTTCGTACCCTATCATCATTAATGGCTTTCCAAGGGATTTCTTTCCTAGAAAGAGAGGGTTGAGGCAAGGAGACCCCCTTTCAACTTTTCTTTCTGTGTTGGTGGTGGAACCGTTTGTAAGACTTATCTATGAAGCAGTTCAGGGAGGTCATTTGGAGAGTTTCAAGGCAGTTCCACAGGCTTCGGCTACTTTAGTTTGTGGATGATCCTGTTATTTTTTCTAGAGCCATAGATATATTTTCTTCCTTAGGTGCTTGCTAATCTGTTTTGAAGAATCCTTGGGATTGAAGATGAACCTCTAGAAGAACGAAGTTATCCCTGTGGGGGAGGTTCCCCAAATATTAGAGTTGGAATGACACTGGACTGCCGAGTAGGGTCTCTTCCTACAAAGTAATTAGGTATGACTTTGGGTGCCCCTTATAGATCACAAGCCATTAGGGATCCCATGATAGAGAGGTTTAGAAGGAAGTTGGCAAGGTGGAAGAGATCTGTTTTATCAAAAGGGGGAAAACTTACACTTATTCAAAGCACTCTATCCAACTTACTGTTCTATTTTATGTCGTTGTTCACCATGCCGGTTTCAATAGCCAAGACCCTTGATAAATTGCAAAGGGACTTTCTTTGGGATGGGTTTGATGATAAGATGAAAGTTCACTAGGTATCCAAGTGGTAGGTTTGTGAACCTTAGCATTTGGATGGGGAAAGTGTAAGGCATCTTAATTAGGTGAACAAAGCTCTTCTTTGCAAATGGTTATGATAGTTTAGGGAAGAAGATAGTACATGTGTTGGCAAGTGATTGCTGGTAAGTTTGGCTTAGCAAACAATGATTGGGAGACTAGTTAACCCCTCGACTTTTATGGGACAGAGGTCTAGAAGGGCATAATGAAACATAAGGATCTTTTTGCTGGCAAGGTGAAGTTAAATCTAGAAGAGGTGACAAAACTTTCTTTTGGAAGGAAAACCGGTGCTTTAATTAGCCTTTACTTGAGGTATACCCTTCTTTCTTCTCCATTGTAGCTAACAAGAAGGCTTGGGTTTCAGATTTCTATGAATCTTAGGTCTCAAGGGGTGCCTGCATTTAGAAACTTGAATGATTGTGAGGGGGAGGGAATTGGTTCTTTGTTTTAAGGTTGAATGAGTTTCGTCTGGTCCTTGCGGATAGTGACAGAAGAGTTTAGGTGATTAATAGCTCCGGTTGTTTTTCTTCCAAATCAGGCTATATGATACTTTCATAGTGAATTGAGGGTATTCATTAGGTTTGGATTTGGAAAACCTAGGCACCAGGCCACCACCTAAAGTAACTTTCCTTTTATGGATTGCTGATAGAGATAAGGCTTCACCATGGACCATCTTCGGAAGAGAGGATTACTTTTTGAGGATGCATGTAGGCTGTGGAACTCAAGCACCAAATTTGGTCCCAACCTTTTCATCCAATGCACTTTCACTCACTCAATTTGGGTTCATTTCCTCAAACTTTTCAACACAAACTAGGAGACACCACCTGATCCGGTATCTTTGCCCGCCCAGGTTTTCTACCAAGGGAATAATTCTTTGGAAGTTGCTCCCTTTGGCCCTTTGTTGGGGGGGGGGGGGGTGTGGAAGGAGAGAAATAGTATAATTTTTTAAAACAAGGCTGCAACTATTGAAGCAGTAATCAACAAAACTGAATGGTTATTCGGTGAGTGAGGATTTTAAAAGCTTTTGAGGATATACCTATTACAACCTTTTTCAATAGCTGGAGTTCTTAGTTTTTAATTCTGATTCACAAAATGTAGTGGGCTTCATTGATATACTTGTAAAGTTTTTTGTACATGCTTTGGGGGGGCAGCTTGCCCTCCTTTTTTGAATGAATGTAGCATTTCATTTGCTTATCAAACCAAAAAAAAAAAAAAAAAACTTGAAAAGTCAGTATTAAGTGTATCTACATTGAACCATTGCTGAGTGTAAATTCCAGTTTACTTCTGCATAAGGTTTTACTTTATCATATTTGTTTGTGAGAAATAAAATGATGTGATCCCCACCTTATATGCAAGAGAATGCAGGTAGGAGGAGGTTTATTTGTTAATGAGATAGGAAGCTAGATGTGGTTGTGGTCCCCACTTTATATGAGATAGAATTGAGGTACAAGGAAGGTGGTGCAAATTTTGCATCAGTTTTCTATATGCAAAATTTGCACTGTCAATAAATGCAAATGAGACAAAAAGTACAAACTTTTTATCAGATAAGAGTGCAAATCATAATTACAAACAAATGGATACAAAACTGAATCGGATGCAAAATTTGTACCCATTTCAGATTTGCATCGCAAAGATGCAAACAAACAGAACCTTGTTCATTTAAATTTGATCAAAACAACAGTTGAGTGGAATATATCCTAAAATTACAGACTATGGAACACTTGAAATGTTAGACGTGGATTTGAGTTGCCCCAATCAATCACTGCTGAATCACAATATTTGTTTTCTTTCCTTGAAACCCAGGTCACAAATGTTAATATCCAAAAAAATGTAGTCAGCTTCAATAATGTTGTTTACGAGGGTTAATTGTGTACTTGCATCAGGAGTGGCAGATCTGATTGTATAAGCTCTGTATTGAGAAAGGTCATACGAAATTGTCCTCAGGATGCACTATTTCTGGAACTGCAAATTAGACTCGTGGGATGCTCTATTTCTGGAACTGCAAATTAAAAGTGATTATCTCAAAAAATCTGACAGAGTTAAGTCCAAGATAAAAACAGAACAGAGCACATCCCATCCAGTAGACCTTTATTAAGATATCTTCAAGTGGAACCATCAAACATATTTCCTCATTCCTGTGTATTTGTAATTTAAAATTTGTGTGCAAGGAAGTGTTTGTGTGAGCAAAAGTAGTTGTCTGAAGTTTCTTCAAATCTCAGAGAAACTAAGAAGTTTAGTCTAGTTCCCCAACACTTTTAGTTTACTTTGATGAAAACCTACCTGATTTTCCCAGGTTGGGTTCGACTATGATGATGGAAAGACATGATACCAGAAAAGCATACCACCAATCAACCAACATCAGAAATGTGGTAACCAATCAGGTGGGTTTGCAACAGAATTCAAGGGGCTTTTGATTGGTCAAAAGCCTTTCTGTTATCATGTCTTTCCGACATGGTAGATTTTCCCAGGTTATAAACAATTTTTTGAAAAGTTATAGATATATACTGCCCTACCAGAAACCCAACCTTCTAGAAGTAGAATTCTCAAGATGACAAGTAACAAACTAACAAACTGTTAATGATCATACTAAAAATTTTCTACAAATTTCAGCAAAGAAGATAATCTGCAAAATAAACCAACTTGATAACAATTTTTACTTTGTCAAATATGTTGTTTCCATTTTCCTCACAAGTTAAAGGAATACTTTGAGCAGATACCTAAATAAAAATTCAGCTTTACCAATGACTACAAAGTGGCGGTCCACAGTTTAGTCATATATCACAAGATTTTGGTTTCATTTGGGTGGAAGAAATTGAAACCTTATAATTTTACATAAAAAACTTGTGAAATTTTTAAAAATCCTAGAGATTTTTTTTTCTAAAATCAATAAAATAATAGAAAAGAAATATATATAAATAGGATTGTTTTTTCATATTTTCTAGAATATTTTGAAGTTTGTTTGAAGAACAGGTCAAGCATGAATTTGAGTTGCAATAAGATGCAATACAGTAGAAATACAATTAAATAATATGTTAGTATTTTACAGACCAATACTAAACTAATGTCCGAACATTTCATTGGTTCATCCAAATTTTAGATAATTTCATTTCATTGAGGTGGAATGAAATGCCAAATTTCAGGCAATTTGATTTGGGTTGAAGTGCTCTGTTCCATAGGTTACCTAGATGCTGAAGAATTATCTTGAAGTATATAACATGTATTCTCCTAAATAATTGAAAACTGGAGTAGGTACTACTGATAAAGGAGAGAGAATAACACTTTACCAATTTAAAATAATGTAAACTAATTATAGTAAATTTCCTGGTTTAATTGATCATCTTGTTCCTAAGAACAAGTAAATATGTAGCAAGGATGTTACATGAAATAAAAGTACATTACCAAAAGAGGCTCTAAAAGAGAAAGCGTAAGACCAAGAGAATATGATGTGAATTAGAAAGAAATAATTTAAGGACTTGAAATTTCACAGAAAACGTCTCATGATAGAACACAATGGTTGAACGGGATTTTTGTAGCTGACCCCCAAAAGTTCAGATCAACACTAAGTCAAGTTAAGGCTCTATTTACAAGTTATGCAAGAAGATAAATTGTAAACCCATACTTTCTAGTTTTTTTTTTTCTTTTTTTATTTCTCCTTTACATACAAGAAATCCCCACCTATCCTTCCTAGTAGCTCCCTTCTACTCTGATACTTGCACTTGTCGCTTCCACAGCAAAGCAATGTCTTTCACCAATGTCCACAAAAAAGACTTAGTAGTTCAGAAAAGGGATGTGTATTTAGATATTGTTGTTATGGCCAATAGATAATGTGATGCTTCGGCACAATAATTGATAAGGATTCCTCCCAACATGGTCCCTTCTTCAAATCATGAAATAATTTAACAAAGCTCTTATCCCAAAGGTGGTCAATCCAAACAGAATTATTGAATGTACCTCACAGATAAGCGTTTGAAACATGGCATATTAAGTCATCCAATGCCTTTTGTGTTCATCTTATTTCATACACTAAGTTTCTTTTCTTCCATTTTGGATGCCTCCTCCATGACAATGTCCTTTTACTTGATATGTTCATCATTTCCATAGGGAGACCATGATTCAGTTTCTTAGGAGAGAGAAATGCAACTAAAGTGCAAGGGGTTCCTAGAGCCTGAGACGCAAGCCACAAAGAGAGACAGACAATTGAGAAAAAAGAGGTACAACTTTTGAAAAAAAAACAAAAGAAAAACTTGATTAACGAAAATTATGAATTTAATCTAATCCTCCTCAAGTTTCATCAATCAATGCCACGTTCTCACTGAAAAACATACACCATGAACCTGTTGAATATCCTTAGTCAATTCACCCAATGATTAGCATAAAAGAAAATAGGTGCCAAGTGTTGCATCTTGGTGAAGTCCCATTGTGACTAGAAATTTATATATATTTCCCCCCTATCGTGGAGGTGAGGTAATTATATAACCATGTATATGATTTTTTTTTACTTTTGTGTATATGTTGTTGTTAATGCATTATTTTTCTATTTTTATTGTTAGACTATGAGGTAGGGGTATTGATGTAATTTCACTCTTCTTTTTATTGCCAAGCTGTCACGTACCTGTAAATAAGAAAAGGGGCACCACCAGCCCAAATTCCTTTGGCTCCCCAAGCATTCTCCTCTCTCTCCCTCTTTCTTGACTTCTCATTTTCCCCTTCTCTTTTACAGATTTTACGTGAAAACATGGTATCAGAGCAGTGATCTGGGCAGCAGAAGACTGTACGTCGAGTTTTCCTCTTGGAACCTTTTTCTTTTGGACTTTGAGAGAAAACCTTAATCGGACTGACTACATTCCTGTGCTCTCGTTTTTTCCTTTTTTCCTTGGTCGTAGTACCAAGTTCAGTGGATCTCTGTGACAGCCGATGCTGTGAGGAAGGTTTTCCTTGAGGTGTGTGCCTGGTTATGTGCACTTGTGGATCGTAGCGTACTATTTCAGCCAGTATTTTCTGTACCTCTTTACCACATGAGCTTTGTTGCTTGGTAGTGATTAAAGACTGTTGTGTTGGGGCTGTGTAGTTAGTGTATTCAAAGTTACAACAGTTCTCTGGGATCGACTGGGTTTCAAACTTCAATTCTTGATCGGGTGTTGGTAGAACAATCAGGTCTGTGTTTTTTCCTCTGTGTTTGTTAGTACAGGTGATCACTGTAATGAGAACTGATGATTCAGCTTCATCCAGAGTTAGTTCTTCTCAAGGAACTTCTAGTATGGGGATTGACAGCATGGGTTTCCTATGCCTATCACTCATTTGAATGAACTGAACTATCTGGAATGGTCTAAGGGTGTAAAACTCTATGTTACAGCCAGGGGGAAAGCTGGTTACATCAATGGTAAAGTGAAAGAATCCAAGTTAGGGGCTGCTAAACATGATAGATGGGACCATGAGAATAGTATGGTTGTGTACTGTCTCCTTGTTGCTATGGAACTAGAGGTGAGGAAGTCATGTGGGCTGATACAACAAGTGAGACTTGGGAGAGGCAAAATCAACCTATTTAGAGCAAAGACATTATGCTAAGATTTATGACTTACAAGCTGAATCCTCCACCTATAAGCAGGGTGGTTGTAGCTTGTCTGCTTACTATTCAGCCCTCACCTTGGTGTGGAAGGAGTTGGACCACTACCAAACTATTGAATGGAAGAATGATGATGATGCAAAGGCATACATAAAGTTAGTTTCCCAATAACGAATTTTTACTTTCTTGCTAGGCTTAAATCCTGTGTATGAGCCTTTTCATATTCAAATTTTGTGTAGTAGTGGCCTTCCTTTAGTCCAAGAAGTATATGCGTTTATGCAATTTGAGGAAAGTAGACGAAGTGTGATGGTTACAATTGAGGGGGAGCAATAGATTGTTTTAGTAGCAAGGGGTAATAACAATGGTATAAAGAAAGGTGGTTATAAGAAGAATGAGGATAGGGACAAACTGTGGTGTACCCATTGCCGTTGCCCCAAACACATGCGGGAAACTTGTTGGGTTCTTGTTGGAAAGCCCAAGTGGGCAAGCAAGAACCAGGAACTGAATAAGTGGCAAGGATAGAAGAAGTACAATGCAACAAATTTGGATGCTAATGATTGTTAGTCTGGGAGTGTAACTACTAGTACCACTCTAGAATTTTATTGTAGGGCATTGCATTAAATGGATAGTACTCCCTCTACTCCATTTGTGTTTATAGTAGGTAATGCAACCACTACTTTCCATCTATCCACTCATGCTCCTGACTCTCCCTGGATTATTGACTTAGGGGCCTCCAATCGCATGATTGGTAAGTCAAATTTATTTCAGTCTTATAGCCTCTTGTTTGGGAGAGATAAAGTGAGACTTACAGATGGTTCATTTTGTTCCATTGCAAGTCAGGGATCAATATCCCTTCCCCATGGCCTAGACCTTTCTGATGTGTTACATGTTCCTAAAATTCCTCTTAACTTGCTTTCCATTAGCAATATAACTCACTCTTTAAATTGTAGTGTAACTTTCTTCCCTCATTCTTGTGTCATTTAGGACCTAACCTCTAGGAAGACGATTGGTAGAGGAAGCATGGTGGATGGTCATTATATTCTTGAAAATAAAGCCGCTATCTCGACATTTGCATCGAGTTTAAGTAGTTAGTTGAGTCAAGTGTTTTGTGGCATAATTGCTTAGGTCATGTCTCTTCTAAGTTGCTAAAGCATTTTTTCCTAGTTTGTTTAAGTCTTGTTCAGTGTCCAACTTTCAATGTCAAACAAGTCAATTTAGTAAACATTGTAAAAATTCATTTTCTTCAAATAATAAAAGATTAGATTTTCCCTTCCATAATGTATATTCAAATGTTTGGGGACCTACTACTATACCCTTTGAGGGTGGCTACAAATACTTTATTGGTTTGATTGGTGATTTTTCTTGCTTCACATTATCTATTGAAAAAATATTCCCTCTTCACATGGATATTTCCTATGCAAACTAGAGATGAGGTT